CACTCCGCTTTCTAACCTTTTTGTTACTTTTTTTGGCGTGTCTATTTAGTAGACGCCCGATTCAAAGGGAATCGCCACATAAATACAATACAATGGCGGCGCCCTGGAATTGGCGCGGACACTGGTCTATAGACCGTTTTATCATGGGTAGCGCCATTTTGAGAGCGAGAGAGAAAAGGGGAAAGGGCTACCGGCGCTTTCCCCCTTTCTGATTGTGTAGGAAGAGTAAAAGTCCCGGATGAGAGGCTTGGCCGGTGTTGGGTGTCTGCTGTGCCCCAACTTCTTTCGCACTTTCTTTTCTGTTTTGAACTCGCAAACTTAATTAGAGCCACGGGCTTTGATGGCAACAGTCCCCCGGTCATCGGGACACCATTGCTCGGTCATAGGGTGCACGAATAACGACAGAAAGCGTCGAATACCGCCCAAGGACCTCGTAGCTTGCATGGAATTCGGCAAGGCACGTGCGGCTGCAATGTTTTGAAGCTCCACCGCTTTCCGCGTGACTGGAAATGATGAACCATTGATAAACTTTTGCTTGCAATAGGCCCATTTCAACGCAGCCGTTTTTAGTAATGAACAAGCGATACACGAAACGGGAACCTCAATTAACTTTTGTAAACACACGGAGCTGCTAGATATCGTTTTGCTGCGCTGCTTTTATCTTGCGTGTCCGTGTTCTCATATTTCATTGTGGATGAACGACGAAGACGTTCTAGATGTGCTTATATCGAACCGCAGAAAGCGTCAAAGCAGCCACGAATTATTATACTATTTGATGCAATATTTTGAGTACTAACTTCCACTTTTTATCACTGACACGTTCGCTGCCACTGTTCCCCCCGTTGCCGCACTGGCGGATGCCATGACTCGAACAAAGAAACGTACACACTGGGCTCGAAGACGCAGATCGCAACACACGAGTCGTACCCTGGAGCGACCATCCAGCGCTTCAAAGCGCCCAATGAACGGAAACAACCCAAACAACCTACCAGCGGCACTCCAAGGAGCGCTTTTGTCGGCTCTCTGGTATCGCACAGGGGATCGCTATTCAGGAAAACCGATAGAACTACCTTTTCAACAATTTCTAGCCTGACCAGCGGCGGAAATAAGCCTTCAACTAAGTGTTGTAAATGATGAAATCGAGTCAGTCACCACTGCAAGTTATCAATATTAAGATAAATTCAGTTACAAAATTTTACAAGCTGAAACAGCAATCATCACGAGAAAACTGGCACGCACCTTGCGAGCGTACCCCATGTTCATCGGCGGTACAGCGTTCGGTGCGCGCTCCATTCACAAGCTGTTCCGAGCACAGTCGAGAAGATGGTGTTGAGGAAATGTCTTTTCGGTTTACGAACGCAATCCACTGCCGCCAAGACCGGGGTCATGTGGAAAGCGATGGAGCTTAAAGACATTGCAGCCACTCTCGCCTTGCCGGATTCATTGCAAGCTACATAGGTCCTCGGACAGTATTCGACGCTTTCTGTCGTTATTCGTGCACCCTATGACCGAGCAATGGTGTCCCGATGACCGGGAAACTGTTGCCGGCGAAGCCCATTACTCTAATTAAGTTTGCGAGTTCAAAACAGAAAAGAAAGCGCGAACGAAGTTGGGGCACAGCAGACACCCAACACCGGCCAAGCCTCTCATCCGGGACTTTCACTCTTTCTACACAATCAGAAAGGAGGAAAGCGCCGGTAGCCCTTTCCCCTTTTCTCTCTCGCCCTCTTTCAGTAAAACGGGCCAAGCCTCTCATCCGGGACTTTCACTCTTTCTACACAATCAGAAAGGCCTCCTTTCTGATTGTGTAGAAAGAGTGAAAGTCCCGGATGATAGGCTTCGCCGGTGTTGGGTGTCTGCTGTGCCCGAACTTCGGTCGCGCTTTCTTTTCGGTTTTAAACTCGCAAACTTAATTAGAGCCAGAGGCTTCGATGGCAACAGTACCCCGGTCATCGGGACACCATTGCTCGGTCATAGGGTGCACGAATAAAAACAGAAAGCATAGAATACTGTCCGAGGACATATGTAGCTTGCGAGGAATCCGGCAAGGCGAGAGCGGCTGCAATGTCTTTGAGCTCCATCGCTTTCCACATGAGCCCTGTCACCGGCGGCAGTGGATTGCGTCCGTAAACCGAAAAGGTGTTTCCTCAACGCCATCCTCTCGACTTAGCTCGGAACATTTCGTGAATGGAGCGCGCACCAAATGCTGTACCGCCGATGAACATGGGGTATGCTCGCAATGTGCGTGCGAGTTTTCTCATGATAACTGCTGTTTCAGCTTGTAAAATTTTGTACCTGAATTTATCTTAATAGTGATAATTTGCAGTGGTGACTGACTCGATTTTATCATCTACAACACTTAGTTGAAGGCTCATTTCCACCCCCGGGTGAGGCTGGAAATTGTTGAAAACGTATTTCTATTGTTGTTGTTGTTGTTGGTTTTTAATCGAGATTTTCTGCGCGATACCAAGGAGCCGGCAAAAGCGTCCTTGGAGTGCCGCTGGTGGGTTGTTTCCGTTGACTAAGGCGCTTTGAGGCGCTTGATAGTCGCTGCATTGAACGTCTCGTGTGTTGCGATCTGCGTTTTCGAGCCCAGTGTGCACGTTTCTTTGTTTGAGTCATGGCATCCGCCAGCGTGGCGACGGGGGGAACAGCGGCAGCGAACGTGCCAGCTATAGAAATTGGAGGTGAGTACCCAAAACATTGCATCAAATAGTAAGATAATTCGTGGCTGCTTTGAGGCTTTTTGCGGTTCGATAAAAGTACATCTGGAGCGTCTTCGTCGTTCATTCACAAGTAAATATAAGAACAGGAACACGAAGATAAAAACAGCAGAGCAAGACGATATGTAGCAGCTCCGGGCGTTTACGAAGTTAATTGAGGTTCCCGTTTCGTGTATAACTTGTTGATTACAACTAAACGCGGCTACGTTGAAATAGGCCCATTGCAAGCAAAAATGTATAAATGGTTCATCATTTCCAGTCATGCGGAGAGCAATGGAGCTTAAAAACATTCCAGCCGTACTTGCCTTGCCGGATTCCATGCAAGTTACATAGGTCCTCGGACAGTATTCGACGCTTTCTGTCGTGATTCGTGCACCCTATCACCCAGCAATGGTGTCTCGATGACCGGGAGACTGTCGCCATCGAAGACCATGGCTCTAATTAAGGTTGGGGGTTTGAAACGTAGAAAAAATCGCGAACGAAGTTGGGGCACTGCAGACGCCCAACACCGGCCAGGCCTCTCATCCGAGACTTCCACTCTTTCTACACAATCAGAAAGGGGGAAAGCGCCGGTAGCCCTTTCCCCTTTTCTCTCTCGCTCTCAAAATGGCGCTACCCACGATAAAACGTCGATTTCCCCCACTAAATTTAGCGGGAAATGCATGGACACCGAAAACGATTGAAACTGAAGGAGGGGAGGGGGGTTTGTTAAAAAGCCTCTTATGCTTTAATAAGCTACACCCTTCGTTTCTCGAACTGTCCGCGACCATAGAGCGCTCACCTTCGGACCCATCGAAGCGTCACTCCCTGGTCAAGGAGTCTCATGTTCCCCAGGCGCCACTGGGGCCATGGCGTTGAGCAAGCTGAACAGGCGGACTCTGTACACGGGAGTGACCACGACGCCGCCCCAGGAGTCCGCCATGTACTGGCCGTCATAGCAAGCGTACGTGCTCCCACCTCCGAAAACTGGAAGCGCCCAATGGCGTTCCAACTTTTGGGTGGGGGTGGGAGGGCAAACCAGACACCCCCCCCCCCCCCCTCCCTCCAGGGTCGGGAAGGGCCCTTGGTATCCCTTGGGCGCCACTGGCCAGTGTTTGCCCTGCCCAGTGGCGGCTGTTTCGAGAGAAGGGGGGGGGGGGGGGGGGGGGGGGGTGTCAAAACACATGCCTTGGCCCCCACTCTGAGAACTGGGGGGGGGGGCAAGCACCCCCCTTGCCCCCTTGGTTGGTACGCTCATGGAAGCGCCCGCAGTGCCAGGACCGCGACCATAGGCTTGGTGCAGCACTCATGACCTTGGTCAGCTATTCGTAAGGATCCGACAACATTTTGCGTCACTATACAACTCGTATCAAGGTAAAAGCTGGTCCACGTACACACTTGCGAATCTGCTTACGACCAACCGAGTACGACCGAAAGATAAAAGACCGGTTTTTAAGCCCCTTGCGACGACGTACAACGTGCTACGCCGCAGCGCATCCGGTCCTCCGCCGTCACAAAAAGGCTTAAAAAACGTTCTTGTCTCTCTCGGTCGTGCTCGGCTGCAAGTTGATATTTGACATCTTGCCCAAGCACTTTAATGGAAACATATAAAAAAAAAAGTAAAGGACCTAAGAACCCTTCCCTCCCACATGTGGTTACCTTGTTAGGAATGACTATTTTGTTGATCCTGAAGGAACGGCATATGTTCAGCAACATGCAAGCCCGACCTAGTGGATTAGGCATCGCCAAGGAATATTCTTTTTTTCGAATGTTTCGAAAAGGGTTGTGAACGTTCCGTTCTGTCAAGACACTTACCGCCTCAGCAATGATATTGGCGAGAAAGCCCACCAACTTCTGACGAAATATCCCTAGCCCCAGAGAGCTTGCTGCCACTTGATGATCCACCTCTTATCAGTTTTATCTAATTTTACATAATGTGGGCAGACAAAAAAACAAACACTCTAGCCACATATATGAATTATATGAACATTTCTGAATATGCCAGGTGGCACCAGAAATAACTTGCGCTACCTGGCGGAATATGGGGTTTGAAAATGCCCAGGATGGAACAATGCACCATTAGGAAGGAGATGGAAGAAGCTTCTTACAAAAAACTTGGGGGGAAAAACATGAGCCACAACGGGGACCTTGGGGGCCCAATATGAGTCACTGCAGCTCAATGGAGCCAGCAAGATAGTACACACTCTCGCGGAACCTTCTGAACTGGCAATTTTCCAAAAATGGTCCATAGGTCAGAGCAATTTTTACATATTTTCCTTATATATGCAATGAAACAAATTCTGGAATATCCACCTTTATTTAAGCATAGTTGCCGATGCACACAAGAAATGCTCCCATAAAAATGCGACAACTAGTGCACATTAGTTTAAATATACCTTTGAAAAGCTGCAAAGCACTGGTACCAGCAAGCCTAAAAATAAAAAGCTATAATGCTGCACGGGCATCAATATAGCAGCAGTTATATATACATATCACAAATACAGAACTTCTCATGTTGAGAAATATATCATGAGGGTGGAAAAGTCACCTTCAGAAACCACAAACTATAATTTAAAAAAAAAATACCAGGTGACTATGCAACTAAATATACTAGGAACTCAATCAGGAACTTGCACCACAAGGATCAGTAACATGAGTAACCAAAAACACTATGTGTCCAATTGCTTTGCACCATAACATTATACGGAAAATATTTAACATGAACAACTGTAAAGCCAACTTGAAAAAGCAAAAAGATGTTGCTTTACATAAATTGACACAAAATGCTACCACACTAGAAGATTAGCATTACGAGGAGCAATAAAAATAGTTTCTGCTATTACAAGAAAAACATAGAAAGGTTTCACTAGCGACGATATGAAGGAACATGGATAAATGCACAAGTGTGTAATGCGTAAAAGATATGAATCAAAGAATGTAGTAATTTCTGAAGGGCCAACTGCAACTTTTCGCAAAGTGATTGTATAACATTCAACCTGCGGCTGCTCAAAAGTCGATGTACACTTCGCGCTTTGCTCGTTTTACCTTGCCTCAACTTGGCTCCTCTCGCAGTTCGGGGGATATGCTAAGACGACTATCTTCCATGCAGACAAGCGAGGTTGTACGTCGACCTTGAAGCCAACTTTTCTGGTTGTTTTTGCCACACAGACCTTGAGTGCACTTCTGTGGCATCAATATAGGCGTGAACATTATTAAAGACAAGCTAGTTTAGGAGGCAAACAAATACATTGAATGAAGAATAGATACAATATAAAGCAGGGTTGTGCACCTGACACAATAATATTTCTCAAAGCAAGCTTCTGTTAACCACTGCTCATGTTTTGTGCCTTTCACAAATAACATATAAAAGCACACAAAGCAAGGATAGTATCAACCACACTAGCAAAGTATTCAGTGTCATTCTCGGAGCTGAGTGCTCAAGCGTGCAAATGAATTTTCCAGTGCCTTGAAATGAAACTATTTCTGATGACACATTACTAACGCGATTTCAACTACTTCAAAGGCAGTACTTCTGCAAACTAATAGAAAAAGTGCAAATAGGTCAGTTTTTGTCTGCAACTCAATAGTTTACTTTCATTCCTCTAAGACCAAGCCACTCTTGTCGTCATGTTAAAATACTTTTATCAATAACTGCCGCAGGTCTACGAGCAGCCTTCATTTCTTGTAGAATGTTCTCTGTCCAATAGTATAACCTGACTTCAGAAAACGATGCATACAATATTTATGGAACTTATCGCTGCCAGTCGCAAAATCCTGGCATTAAATTTCTGTATTACAACTAGGATGCTTTTAACTTCTCTGATAGAGAAGCCTGAGATAACTCATTCTAGGAAGATTTCGGCACATCTGCATAGGCTGCAAGGATTTTCCAACTAGCATAAAAGCACAAGCATCTCATATGTTAGTGGACACTTTACTCTCAAGGTGCAGTCCTTTTTGACTGCCCGATTCACTTCCTGAGTTTTCGTCCAAAATCATCCTAGTTGATCATTGCTCCAGAGATACTTCTGACAAACAGTGCAAGCTTAATGACAAAAAAAAAAAAAAGACCCCACCGTACCCATTGTAAAAGACCCATCGTAACGTAATCATGTACATACCCACTAGTTTATAAAGCTTTTTTGGGGCTAGTCCTATCTGCGTACCAGACATCAAAGAATGCCACTTAAATCCATGCTCACCATTGCACAACCCAACCTTCTTTCAAAATCTAGAATCCTATATCGTACTTGAAAAAAGTTTTCACCTTTTCATTACATATTACAGAAGCAATTTCTTGCTCCTGTATCCTTTCAAAAATATCCTAGACTGGAAAGACTTTTTCGCTAGTGGTGATTACAGCAGCAATGAAGATATGCAGCCCATCGCATTCAACCAAACCTTTGCCACCAAATCGCACGCATGCAGCATGAGTATACACTACATCGAGTCAGGTCCTTTCCACGCATTCCCGAACTTCCACTGCCATATCAAAGACCAGATCCAATCCACGAGCACAACTTTCACCACAGTTCACAAAGCAATCTTGTTCTTGGAAACCCAGCAATCAATTTGGTGAAATTACTTTCACCACAGTTCGTTTTTATGTTAGATACTGGGTCGCTGGCATAAATGCTGGCTGTCCCAATGTGGAACCTCAAAACCATAATCTATGTGCAATTAAGTTTTCAACAGGATATTACAATCTGCCACCTTTAAAATAAACCTAAATTCCAGATCTTGAACCCAATTTGGGTACAGGATACACTTTCCGAACAGGCGAAACCACAAAACACACAAGGGGACTTCTTAGTATCTAGTTGTAATCTCTAGCACCCTGGTAGCAGATTTAGAAACCAAGTGACATTCTCCCATCAAGACAAAATATTCTGCCGGACTGCGCAGTAGCCAGTCAGCTTACTTCAGAATCAAGTTGCTCTCCCACATTCACGAGGCTCTTTTACACAAACATATGTTTTCCCCTTAGGAATCTAAGGATCTTACATCACCCATTCTTTTATGCAAAAAAAGCAAGAAAAAAAAAGGCCGTGGTGGCACAGATGAAGAGCCGTAGACGAAGATCCGCAGACAAAGAGTCGCGGACAAAGGTCCGTAAACAAAGCTCTGCAGACGAAGATCCTTAGACAAAGCTCTGCAGACGAAAGACAAGACTACTTGTAGAACTTGACCTCGGTCTCGACAACATCCTTGAACAGCTCCCGCAGCTCCTGTGGGCTGCCGCCGCTCTCGAGGAAGCTCTCCACTTCCCGCATACACTTGTCTTCCAGGTCGACCAGAAGGGAACGCAGTTCCTTGCCAGCCTTCGTAGTGCCCTCTTGCATGCTCTTGAGGACACGCTCATGGTGACGGTACAGGACGTGGCGGCGGTCCACTTGAAACTTGAATCGTGGCGATTTCTGTAACAAACCAGCGAGATTTGGGGGGGACACTGCCAGCCGAGCATGTTACACATGGCTTGCACTGACGTCACATCAGACATGCCACTGTGGTGGTCTTGCTGCTGAACCTTCAGTTGCACACATTTCACACCAACTTTGTTTTTCTCGACAAGAACAAGTAGAAATGACCACCAGCACAATGTGAAAGCCATGGGTAGTCACCGATAGGGTAAGAACAGTGGGGAGGAGCTTGTCCAGGCCCTGTCCCTTGACTATTGGCTGACGGGGGTCACAGCCTTTTTACTTGTTCTGATAAATAGGCCCTATGAAATATACCAGAATGTGAAACTCAAAAAAGGCCACAAAGGCGAAATGATCAAAGGTAGGAGAACACTGTATACATGTGGTTGTCGAATATGAATGCTGAAATGTCGCTATCGCTTGCTATCATGAGCGCCAGAGAACGTAACATTGAATGAATGAACATAAACAAACTATCAGTGTTGGCCACCGGTAAGCTGCATGGAGACCAAAATGTGGCAAAATGTGTTTCTGTCCATTCATTCTGTTGTCCCTATTTTATAAAAAAAAAAAAAAAACACAAAATACCCATATATTTTATTGACATATTTATTTGGCACTGCATGCTTTTTTCTTCATAACAAAGTGGTTTAGATTGTCTGCACTGTGCCACTGTATTCACTTGCATAATGAACACACTCTTTTTCCCGAAAAATTTACACATAGTTGGGGGTCACGCAGGGTAAAATTTTTGCATTTACACACTTTGCACAACAGTCATTTTAGATGCCAATATGACACGGCAGGGTGCTGTGGCATGTCTCCACTGACAGAGGCGCACCCACAGCTGGTCGGCAGTGCGCCACAGTAAACATGCTCTATAAATTGCAGAAATTTTTTAGGGTGCTTTCGGCATGCCTTTTGCTGAAGGCGAAAGCGCCCTACGAAGCTCACTTAACGCGGAGATCGACGTGAGCGCTCTTAGGCCAAACCGCTTTCACGATTTTACTGTCCAGAAGCAGACTACAGATGACAGCATGTTTGTTGACATCAATGCATCTGACGGGCAAAGCATGTCCGGGACTGGGAAATTTCTTGACCCCAGCTTCATTAGGTGTAAGCGCCGCTTGGTCATTTTCGCAACTACTCACTTGCAGCCATAATGAGAGCATGTATTGTTATGGTTGGCTTGGCATGACTTGGTATGGCCCTTCGGCGGCAAAAGAAAATTGGCTTGGTGAGCTTGCCGAGTTGGAACGCAGTTTGAGACTCGCGGAGCCGAAAATTAGAGGTGCGTTCATTAAATGAGAGAAAAAAAAAAGTCAAAATATTGATGCTTGTTGTGGGGAGTGCGCTCATTATGTGAGAAAATATAATATATCCTATTTTAAGCGCGCGCCCAAGCGTGTTTAGAGGAGCAAACAAGGCATCCAAATTTGTTTTTACAGGTTTTGTTTTGTTTTAACAGAGGGCTGCATACTTCTACTGGATCAGAGTTAGGCAATCCAGCTCCAATGGACAGTGGGAGTGTGGATGCGGGGTACGCCTTTCCGTTCTTATCATGTTAGGGACTACAGTGCATCACAACCCAAAGCATGTGGAGCAAAAGCTTGCTTTGCAGGACCCAGAGGTCCTTGGTTCGGTCCCCACCCCTACCCATTTTAGTGAGCATTATGCCAGCACACATTCGCATGAATACTACCCCAAGTTAGCAGTCATGCTGCACTGCCCAAATGGATCATCTAGAGCAGTGGTCGGCAACCAGCGCCCCGCGGGCCGGATCCGGCCCGCGAGGCAGTATCATGCAACCCCCAAACCCCCAACGCCCCCCCCCCCCCTTCCCCAGAGCGGTCAGCTAAAATAGAAGGGAAAAATATAAAGTTGTCTGATTCGCTGTCCATTGCCTGCCTCACGAATGACTGACGAGAACCTCCACAATGTTTTGCGACTCGCAATTAGTAGCTTTAATGTAGATGTCCGTAGTTTAACACTAGAAGTCTAACTGAGGGGAGTCTCTAGGTTTCCGTGGAAATGGTGTATCTCATGTCATATGTCGTGAAATAAAGAAACTATAGCTTTTCGATTTATGTACGTCGGTGTGTGTTCGTGCAAGTGTTCTTTCTTTTAATTTTAACTCCCCCCCCCCCCCCCCCCTTTCCCGCTGCTTGCCGTCCGGCCCGTTCCACCTTAGCTTCACGGCGACTCGGCCCGCTGCGCCGAAAGGTTGCCGACCACTCATCTAGAGCACAGAGAGGTCATTTCTTTCTATGGCTGAATAACTTCACATTATCTAAACTTCCACACACCCTCGGTGAGATTGCTTTTGCTTTGTGCACGAGAGAAGTCCCATTGTGTCTAGAGCTCACACAGCACTGTTCCAGGGCTTATAATGACAGAATTTCTGGATGCCAACACCCTAACACCCAGAAGAATACAAATCTTTAACTCGCAACTAAGTTTCCAGTCTCTATACTTGATGCCTAGTTATTAAATCAATGCTATTTGGTTTGTGTTAATCTGCAGCTAAACTACCGTAGCTCCAACCTTCCTGCCACAATTCTCTTTAAAAAAACATATGCGGAAAAAAAATCTTTTGAACAGCCTGGCTGGGAAAAGGATGTCATACAAATGAAGGACGTTTACGAATCCCCGTCATGCGAAATTTGAGAAAGAAATATATATATGAACAAACATGGCTGTCGGTGACATTTCTAGGAGGAGGAGGGCCCCCACCATAGCATCCCCCTTCCCCTGCCTTTTCCTCCTCCATACCCTCCCCTCCTCCTCCTCCGTACCTTCCCTTCTCCTCCATACCCTGTCCTCCACCTCCTTCATACCCTCCCCCCCCTCCTCCGGTTACGCCGACAGTGATGCTGACGCCGCCAAACACAGGATCGAGCGCCTAAGAGCTGCGCTCTAAAATGAATTAACAATGAAAGAAACAAATTTTTAGAGATCTATTTATGGCGCTGGATGTATTTCTAGTTGGTGTCCACAGGAGCCGCGAATAGTCACATGGTTGACCTGTGTGCTGCCGCTAGTTACACCAGAACCATTCAGCGCCACCACTCAAGTCCCCAGAACCTTCACGCTGCCGCCGCACGTTGAGCATGGCGCGCCACCGTGCTGAAAGAGTTTCTTCACGTCGCCGTCAGAAATTGGCGGCGGCGGCGCGCCTCCGGCGCGCCGCCGCCGCCAATTTCTGACTGGCGCACAGGTCCATCATACGGTGCTTGCGCTCTTTCGGGAGCTACCTATGGGCTCTAAAAGTTACTTATTAATCTTTGTTTCTTTGTTGCACTGAAAACAAAGATCAAAAGTAACTTTTAGAGCCCACAGGAAGCTCTTGAAAGAGCACAAGCACCACGTGACTAAAGCAGCCAATCACATGACCATAATGCAGTATAGAGGTTTTTTGCGCGACACAGGGGACAATTACAAGCGAGTAGACACGGACAAGCGCAAACCTTCACCAAGGAGTCCCTTGAACCCCGGGTGACGTCCCTGCTGACAGTCCGTGTGAGTACGTCGACACCCGCAAGCAGGCAACTATCGTGTTGTTCAGATGGTGCTTTCCTAGCAACTCGTCAGTTCAACGCCAGCAAATCATGCGCGGCCATGCTAGGTTCAAGAGAATATTTTGGTCCTTTTTGTAGAACTCGTGAAACGTTCTCCGGTATTTGGACGTCTTCTCCCAAAACCAGGAGACCCGCACCAGTGGCACCCTTGTCCTTCATTTGCTGGCGTTGGACCGATGAGTTGCTAGGAAAGCACCATCTGAACAACACGATAGTTGCCTGCTTGCGGGTGTCGACGTACTCACACGGACTGTCAGCAGGGACATCACCCGGGGTTCAAGGGACTCCTTTGTGAAGGTTTGCGCTTGTCCGTGTCTACTCGCTTGTAATTGTCCCCTGTGTCGCGCAAAAAACCTCTATACTGCATCATGAACCAACTAGGCCAACAACAAGTTTTAATTCACATGACCATAGCGGCCACTTTTCCGTGGGCTCCCGCAGACAGCAACTACAAATGCATTTCGCGCCATAAATACAGCTATACATTTTTTTGTTCTTTTGTAGCTGTATGTTTATTTTATGACATTTTTTTTTCTATTAGGCTATGTAAAACAATTTTGTTTTAGAGCGCAGCTCTTAGGCGCCCGTTTCCGGCTTGAGCGGCGTCAGCGTAATTGGGCGGTGCATTATGGAACATTTCCCATTATGACGTCACACGTGACGTCACGTGCGACGTCACGAGGGTCACCAGTGACGTCACAGATGACGTTACGAGGGTCACCACCCGTTGCATTATGGGTAAATTTGTCATCTAAATTTAACAGAAAAATTTTCCCACTAAATTTAGCGGAAAAATTTTCTGATAAATTTAGAGCAAACAATTCCCCGCTAAATTTAGCAGGAAAATTTCACCGCTAAATATAGCGGAAAAATTTCCCCGCCAAATTTAGCGTGAAATTTTTCCCGCTAAATTTAAAGGGGCCCCACTAAATTTAGCAGAAAAAAAATTCATCACCAAATTTAGCAGAAAAATTGCCCTGCTGAAATTAACGGAAAAAATTCCCCGCTAAATTTAGCGAGAAATTTAGCAAAAATTTCTCGCTAAATGGGAGGCGAGCAGGAGAGGAGGATACGTTTAAGGAGAAGGAGCTCCATACCTTCCACTCCTCCTCTTCCTCCTCAAGAGCTGCACTCTAATTCGGGCACTACAGGAGAGTGTAAACGTCTTTCATTTTTTCCTTTGCATGTCTTTTAAGAGTTCTTCGACATGGTATATATGTAAGTCGATAACACCCCATATGAACACTGAGACGTTACTGACTTTGTAGCAGATATGTGCAGCCAGGAACATATGGTTATAGCTGCCTCAAATAGAAACCACAAAACTACTTTGAGCTTTGCTCAAATTCAGGTTTTCTTTAGTGTCTGCTTTGCCACCGCACTGTTTGCGAGACAATGGCGATGGAGAAGAGAGAAATAAACCGTGGTACTATGTACCTTGGCAGGGTCGTTCTCGAAGACCGGCGATACGATCAGTCGGGACGAAACCACATCGTCACAAAAGACAAAGGGCTTGAAAACCGAGTGAGCTGGGTCAGGTGTGCCCGTGAACCAGTGGCAACAAAGCCTCTCCGACGTCATGGGCGAAAGAACCGACACCTAGACAGGAACACAATCCTTCAGGTGCACAGTTGTAAATTGCATAGAACGGAGTTTGTAAAGCTTAGAGCAGACAAAGCAAAGTGCTCCACAATCTTATTGAAGTACAAGTCACATGCATGTGAGTGGCTTGGATACTCTGTTAACGATTTTCCCCCGCTACTAAGCAGGTCCACAACATTTTTGTTTACCCTTCGGATTTAGGACCTAGCCCTCCATTAACATGCGTTCAGCTTATATACGACGGACTAGATAATTCTGACGTAGACCTCTTTACTAGTGGCTATGACAAGTTCAAAAGGAGTGTATTACAAATAATTACTACTGACTAGTAACTTTAGTTTTGGCCTCATGTGTGCGCAGTATTTTTTTTTATGGCTTCCCAGTTGTTTTGGGGTGCAGCAAACATAAATTGATTAATACCAGTAAGAACAGTGAAGCTATTCCATTTTATAGTAGATACGAGTCAGCAAGTAGTTAATACGATGATAATCCCAGGACAGCAAACCGGGGCAAACTAACATAAAACAAAGTTGCAAATTGTATCGCTTAGTCTCACATAAATCACCCACTGTCCGTCCAACTAATAAAGTCATGCAATTCAAAGAACTGGCAAGCATAGCTAACATTTGCTGCAGTCCCATAAACTGCAATAAACTAAGTATGTTTGACTGCATCATATGACGTAAGCTTATGATATTTTTTGCTTTCTTCAAACAGCATGTTGTGCTCAGCTATGTAATGCAAGCTACGCACAAATTTAGTTAATAAACCAGAGTCATGACTGACAAGTAGCATGTAGAACAAACAAACAAATAATGCACTCTGTCAAATGACTTTAGATATAATACATCAAATGCTTCGTACGATCTGACCAAGTTGCACAAACATGTAACAAAAGTGTAATATAATTATTTTTACTGGTAACAGTAATAGTGGTAGTAGCATATTATTATTATTATTATTAAACATAACTGCCTAAAAAGCTCTATTCCTGAGCATACATGCTACATACTTGCTTGATTTATCATTTTATGGGACTGCAATGCTAATTATACTAGTTCTCACATGTTCCACATCATAATGTTGAGCAACATGCATTCGGAGAGGGCTGCAGTGCAGAGAAGCATCTCTCACGCAAAAGTGAACGGCAAACAGATGCAAAGTCACTGGTTTGGCAATCACATTTACCTGGCTGGCCACAGTCGGCCGCTCGTGCTGGGTATCTCGGCAAATGCCGCTAGCCTTATCCCTGAGTACCGTGGTCATCGAACTCACTCCGAAGTCGCCTGTTGAGGGGAAAATCACAGGTTTCGCATAAGGAACCTGCGAGCATCTTTCGCATAAAGCTACCGCCAAAGTTCAAGTCTACTGGGCACGACTTCTGTTATTGCTGCTTATAATTTGAGTGACGTTGCAGGAACCAAGACAAAAGGGGTGAGATTGAGCAGCTTACCTAAAAGTAAAATATATGAGCTGCACATTCATTAACTAAGGCATATAAGTACTCAACCTGCATCAGTCGTCTTGCTTTGCCTATAAATTTCAATGACAAACTACCTATAAAGATGGCATGGATTACCTAGAGGTTTGTGAGCGCGACATCGGACAGACTGAGATTGGTATTTGTGGGGATTCCTGTGGTCTCCCTTCCCCGATGGCTGTGATAACGGTCGCGGGTCGGAACACTCGGCCTCCTTCGCCGTGAGCTCCGATCTGTTCGTGAGGCGGAGGGCCGCCTGGCTTGAGGGGCTCTCCTCTCACTCTCTCTCTCTCGGGGGACCGATTTCCGTTCCCCCGCTTGGATGCGAATCACTGCTGACAGGCGAGGAGGTTTCGCCTTTTGTTTTCCCACTTTCTGGAAAGGGACTCGTCCGGGTGACCGCGAAAGAGATAGGACGTGTGTCGGCGACTTCTCCAATGCTTCCCCGGTCTTGGCTCTCCAGAACCCCGCGTCTGGCCAGGTAAGGACCTTTTCTTACCTTGCCGGCGCGGGGGGCATTTTGGATGGGGACATTGTAGTTCTCTTAAAAGAGTGTTCTAATAAATGCTCTTGGACTCTGTCCTTACTCTGGTATGTGTGTCTTCTCTTCCGCTATATTCGAGAGAGTGAGACAAGGTAGACGATCATTGGCACTGATGGAGGTAATTAATCAAACCGTCCCGCGGTAATGTAGCCCTAAACGTTTGTCTATATTGCCGCGAAGATGTGGGGACCGCGCTGCTAGGTTTGACGTCTCCTTTGAGATATCGCCGCTGTTGAGACAACCCTTTGGTTACTCTATCAATACCTGTGCTGGTAGCTGGCAAAATTCCACATAAAATGGCACCCAACGTGGGGCCATGACTGCCTTTATCGTGGTCGTGGCTCCCGGTCTCCATCCCTTTGTCCGGCCTATTTGCCGTCCATCCTTGCCTTTAATCGCCCCGTACCACAAGCGTCCTGATCTCGGCACTTATGGCTGAGCGATTAATGCCGAGTCGGCAACCCGCAGTGCCACTCCTTTGAGCGAGGGCAGTGTGATTCGTACGCGCGTTCCTGTTTTGAATTAGCATGCGTCAAGCAACATTCATTGTTGCGGGAGACCCTTTGTTCTCCATGCTCGAGGCGAACCTTTCACCTGTGTGTATTTGGGTTCCTTGTGCACCACCAACAACTTGTCCTGAGAAATGTATATAGATGTTTCGATGACGTTTGTTTTTGAGAACCAGGTGGACTTTTATGTCCGGCGGCAAGCGAGGCTTGGCAGAAAAGAGTAGCAAAGGGTCAGCAGTGCAATATGAAAATGTAAATATTCGCGTTTTCTTTGACTCTGAGTAGTCGCGGACACTCAGTTAGTCGGACGGTACGCCTGCCAATAACGTCGATAAGTAGCTGGTACTGCTACTGACGGGCTCCGGGAGACGGGCCGCGTAACTGTCGGCGTCAAGAAGCAGTTTACACACTGTTGACGCGCACATTGTATTTACTGCTGGTATTGCAGTGGGCGCGGAGGGTCTCTTTAGGGAAAGATTCGTTTCTGCTTGATGCCAACGTACTCCTGCAGCCTGTTGTTGTTTTCCAAGAACGACACTAGTTTTGCGTTCATGGTGGTGGCGCTACGCGGTCTGAGGCGCACTGTGACAGTATCTGGGTGGACGAGCGACTCTAAGACTTTCGGAGCTTATGTTGCTCTGAAAACCGGGCGCCATGTAGTCAGAGCGCCCTTTGGCGATATCTTTCAAACTCGCGTGATCCAGGTGGAAGAGTGACTCTAAGACCCTCAGCAGTTACGTCGCTCTGAAACCTGGCGTGCCTCTAAAGAAGAGTCCACACCGTTGTGAGCCCTTGATCAAGCCGTATCGAGTGCAAGACATATTTTTCTATCCTCAGTAAGCTAGCTAGCTCGAATATTTGGCGAAGCTGGCAGGTTTGAGCATGTGAGCTGCGGCCCCTTTTGTCTTCCTCCGTGAGGAGAAAGATGGCGGCTATTTTGCGCGGGAACTTGCATCTTCCCCGCTCACAGACGCGCATGCATGGCGGTTTCTTTCTATCCGCCCCTTCGAAGTCCCCATATCCCTTTACCTCGACTTCAGAAGACGGGCCAGCTGCAGTCTGTTATCTGTTTTTGGCCACTTATAGTCAACGGACTCTTCCGGTAACTATAAAACCAGGTATTGTAGGCAGCCTCTGAGTTAGCTGCCTGCGCAAAAGATTAAGAACTCGGCACTTTTCCTAGAAGCTCTCTCCCCGGTTTCTACATTAAGCGAACTCAATTAGTTTGCTTGGTATGTGGACGCATTTCGAACGGAGAGGCCCGCTTTTATGGCTTCTTCTTCCGGTGTCGAAGCATGTCACTCTGGCATATGTCCTCTGGCCGCTCGTCGGGTCCGTTTCCCAACTGAGCGCCTTCCTGTCACCATTGACAAACTGGCCACCTTTTTTTGTGATTTTGGTTGTCGTTTGCTCCTGCCAGCTTATGCCACCTTTGCGGCCCAGCAGGCGAGCGACGGTCGCGCGCGCCCCCTTGTTTGGAGGTTGCGGCGCCCTTTCTCCCTTTGGGGAGGTCTACGGCCGGCTCTGGGTGTGTTGGCTGCTGGCGCATTACGACTTCGCAGGTCTGCTCCGAGGTCGTCCACCCCCCTTCACCAGCCCACTGTGACCGAGATGGCGCCGAACCCCATGGGCAGCGTGTCTGGGACTTCCCCAGCTGGTCTGGGCTGGTAGGCGGCGGTCGTTGGTCTTTTTGGTGCTTCAGCCTTCACGACCGCCTGCTGCCCCCCCACTGCAGGCCAGCTCAAAACTGCGACACCTGTGTCCAGCTGTATCAGCACGGCACCTGTGATGCTGTGCAAGGTTGTCATGGCCGCGTTCGTGCACCTGGACTTGAACTTTCCGGGTCTTCGCTCCTGCGGGCCAGCTGTTAACGGCGGACACTGTGAAGACGTGCACTGAATGTCGCGTGTATTTGTTGGGGGTGCACAGAGAGATATATTATTTTATGAGAGCAGGTGGGCCTCCTTTATTCTTTATTGAGACCCACCTACCAATTTAAGGAGGGGGGAAGTGGGGATTCCTCTGGTCTCCCTTCCCCGATGGCTGTAATAACGGCCGCGGGTCGGAACACTCGGCCTCCTTCGCCGTGAGTTCCGACCTGTTCGTGAGGCAGAGGGCCGCCTGGCTTGGGGGGCTCTCCTCTCACTTTCTCTCTCTCGGGGGGACAGATTCCCGTGCCCCCGCTCGGATGCGAATCACTGCTAACAAGCGAGGAGGTTTCGCCTCTTGTTTTCCCGCTTTCGGGAAAGGGACTCGTCCGGGTGACCGCGAAAGAGATAGGACGTGTGTCGGCGACTTCTCCGATGCTTCCCCGGTCTTGGCTCTCCGGAACCCCGAGTCTGGCCAGGTAAGGACCTTTTCTTACCTTGCCGGCGCGGGGGGCATTTTGGATGGGGACATTGTAGTTCTTTTAAAAGAGTATTATAATAAATGCTCTCGGACTCTATCCTTACTCTGGTACGTGTGTCTTCTCTTCCGCTATATTCGAGAGAGTGAGACAAGGTAGACGATCATTGGCACAGACGAAGGTAATTAATTGAACCGACCCACGGTAATGTAGCCCTAAACGTTAGTCTATATTGCCACGGAGATGTGGGGACCGAGCTACTAGGTTTGACGTCTCCTTTGAGATATCGCCGCTGTTGAGACAACCCTTTGGTTACTCTATCGGTACCTGTGTTGGTAGCTAGCAAAATCCCACATATTACAGCTGTCGTAATGAAACTAGAATGAACGTTGCAATCTTGGCAAAAAAACCTTGGGAGGTTTACACTCCAAACCAACATAGGGCGTCTGTCACGCCTGTTGAGGATTATATTGAGACCATCTGGGAATCCTCTTTTACACAGTCGGAGTCAGATTGCACCGGCACCCCTATAAACTGTTATGAAACTGAACAAAAACCAGGAAGCTTGTAGAAAGCACTGTCAGAATTTTTGCAGTTACCCAGATGGTTGTACACCGGCAGCTTGCCAACCAAGGTTGTGAACGTGAAATGTCGACCCCATTTTGACATCGCTATGCACCTGTCAAAGCTGCCATGTGTTAAAAGCTCTGAAGAAATCATGACAAAAAAAGAAACAGCAATTGAAAATAAATGTGCCAGCAGACCAACCAAACCATGAAACAGACGAAAGAAACAATAATAACTTCCTGCAGTGCAGCCCTCTTCCTTACACTGAACAGTGGAGCTCACAAAAACCTCTAGTCCTGCAAAGTTTAACAAAAAAAATTCTGAGGATACCTAAGCACTTCTTACGAGTTGTGAATGCGAAAGCATGAACGTCGTTCTTCCGCTCCCTTAGTTCGTCTGCGATGTACTGGCATGGACAGCCACGGTTCACTACTGCCGAGGTTGCGGGAGTAGCGACCACCTACGATATAGATGCCTCAGGTGCCGTAATGTTACTTGCGGCCACAGCCCCCCACCCCCTTCCGGCACGCCTGACACGAGAGCGGCGGCCAAGCGCACTCTCGTAAAGCGGCAGCAGTCCCCCCCCCCTTTTCGGCAACACCTGATAAGAAAGCAACGGCCCAGCGCGCACTCTCGTGAAGCGGCCGCCAATGGCTATCTAGGAGCCATTTTGCTCAGCCAATGGGAGAATGGGAATTTCTTTCGCCGGTTACAGACGCCGCCGGCTCCTCTCCATTAGATAGCTAATGCTTTCGTATTAAAATAAAAATAGGTAAAGGAAACAAATTATGTCCCCTGTACCATCATTTGAAACAAACAACCTGGTAAGGCTCCAGCTG